GTAGGTGACATATCATTCATTTGAATCTTGATATCCCTGTACTCAATGATAAAGATAAAAATAAGTAATCTCAAATATACGACCCCTATCAAACCCTAACACTTGAACTCTTAAAATTCTATTGAAGAGCTGATATGACATCTCAAAGTCCATTCAAAGTGTGCAATGGAACGATAAAAAAGTGTTCACATTGTATGAGCCCAATACATTTTCTATAACAATTTGGCAAATTATTCATGTTTGGCAAATTATATTTAATGAAATTCCCAAAAGATCACCTATAACTGACAAATTCTAAACTTATCCACATAATTCTTTAAAAAAATGTAGGAAATATCAATACGTATATTTCTGATATTTTTCTAGTAACATCCATGTCATAGTTTATAATTTCTTTTTCTACTAATTTACTCCATGAAAATAAAAAGGGGATGTACTAGGGGGTTTTCTAAATTCTCGAAATGTAAAATTGGAAATGTCTTTACGAGACAGACATTTGACAATGATATTATAGGAGGTGTGCTCAATTCCGATATCCTTGATATATCTATATAATAATAAACAAATGTATTGAGATCCTGAGCAGCATTTCCCAAAACAGTCATAGGTACAAATTCGCTGAAACTAACTAGCTGAAACCCACCCCATTGAAGCAGTGCATTAAGAAATTAACACACGTTTTAATGGGATCTCGTACTCGTTTCGTAGAAGCATGCCCTAAGGGAAGTTTCCCTCGACATTTCGGTTAAAATCTGAGGACCTTGAGCACATTATACAAATGACCTTACTTTTCATTTCTGAGTAATTGAAGGAGATACTGCTCAAAAAGAAGTTTGTGGGTGGATGTAATGTGTGGGAGGGTGCATGCACTGATCAATCTTTCTCCATTAGTATTATTGCCTACTTCCAAAATACTCATCAAGCTCCTGAGTGCCAGAAGGGCATTAAAATCATATCATCTAAATGAGACTTAGCGCCCTTCTTGCTTTTGACCAACAGGCAATATAGTCCATCAATGTATCATCTTTAGCATGTTGTTTGTGCAAACCATCCCATTTTGTGTGACCCCTGGGCAATAGCTGAAATTTGCCATTCAAATGTTATCAAAGTTCAATCAATGATATGCACATAATTATATAAGAGAAGCATGTTGCGACAGGCAATCAACGTGATAACGCCATCGAAGAATGACACAATAACACAGAGAAGCAAAATACAAGATGAAATAATATTTGACACCATAAATAAGATAATTCCTTGTGCAAGATGTTTTTGTTTACATGTATAAATATAGGCCTGAGGGCAATAAACCTCAATTATAGAGTTACTTTCATTTTCTTTTCTAACATTGTACATCTGAGCTACCAATTGTGACAGTCAAATAAAATGGACCTGGGACAGATGAGCAGCCAATATCTGTTAAGAGATTAAAGAGACCAATTACAAAAATATAAAAAATTCACATGGGACTCACGCAGACTCAAAAAACTTTAGTTCCGAACCCCCATGCAGAGAAAATAAATGTGAAGTACTAATAAGGGTGCGTTTAATTGACACTTTTTCACTCTAGAATCACGGTTTCTAAAGACGTTTAGTTTAAAACGCAATGCGTTCAAGCGATTTTTTCGTCGGTCGTAAAAATAAACGTGTTTGAAAACACAAACATGAAACGCTGAAAAAGATGCGTTTTGTATCATGATTCAAAAGAATCACGGTCGCTAAAATTCGATTGAACGGACGGAGTTCTCAATCATGATTGTATGACGAAGCCTCTTCCGGTTTGGGAAAAACCGCGCGCCCGCTTTGCATGCAATTTGCGTTCACTATACCATCGTGGCCTGTTCTGTTATGTTATTCCTTGTTTTTCCTTCTATCATTTTCTCTTTCTGTCTTTCCTTATGTTATTCTTTGTTTCTTCCTTTTATTCTTATGTTATTCTTTGTTTTTTTTCCTTCTATCACCTTTTCTTATGTTATTCTTTGTTTTTATCATTCTATCATTTGCTCTTTCTGTCTTTCCTTATGATATTCTTTGTTTCTTCCTTCTATACTTATGTTATTCTTTGTTTTTTTCCTTCTATCACCTTTTCTTATGTAATTCTTTGTTTTAAGCATTCTATCAATTTCTCTTTCTGTCTTTCCTTATGTTATTCTTTGTTTCTTCCTTCTATCATCTTCTCTTATGCTATTCTTTGTTTTTATAATTCTATCACTTTCTCTTATGTTATTCTTTGTTTTAATCATTCTGTTACTTTCTCTTTCTATCTTTCCTTATGTTATTCTTTGATTCTTCCTTCTTTCACCTTCTCTTATGTTATTCTTTGTTTTAATCATTCTATCACTTTCTCTTTCTGTTCTTCCTTATGTCATTCTTTGTTCCTTCCTTTTTTCACATTCTCTTTCTGTCTTTCCTTATGTTATTCTTTGTTTCTTCCTTCTATTTTTATGTTATTCTTTGTTTTTTCCTTCTATTACCTTCTCTTTTGTTATTCTTTCTGTCTTTCTGTCTTTCCTTATGTTATTCTTTGTTTCTTCCTTCTATCACCTTCTCATTCTTTGTCTTATTATTGCGATCTATGCTCAAAACAGCAGTCAACAGTCGGCCGTAAACAATTCCAGAAAGCGCGCGCCGAAGTTCCTGGGCCATACTGCGCAGTGTGATGCGCAGTGGTTTGGCTCGCAATGAGCTAGAATCAGCGTTGATGAAAAATCGCTTGAACGCAAACCGCAGTGACCTTGCTTTTTGTAACGGCGTTTTGAATTGTGATTCATGTTTGTGATTCTAGCTTCGAAAATTCGATTGAACGCACCCTAAAGGTCTGCATTTTTCTGTTTAATCGTTGAATCATTAAGATTGAGGGGTGAATATTATTGTCAAGCCTTTTATTTGAGCCGAAGGCATCACTTCAAAGAAGAACATGGGTGAGAACCTCCTGCAACAAACTCATAAAAATTCTTTCTTTTCTCCATGCTCATTCATCACAGGTAAGTTGAGGGAGTATAGCTTTCACATCGAATATCCCCAGAAGTAGCATTCTTTTCTAGATCTGCACAATTTCCTTTTTATGACACAACTTAGAAAGGGAGCTGCATTTCTATCTCCAGAAGAAGCATTCTTTTCTAGAGCTGCACAATTTCCTTTTTATGACACAACTTAGAAAAGAAGCTGCATTTCTATTCAGGTACCAGCAATACTCAATCTTCCCCAGTTGTTTGTTATTGTTGTTTCTGAACTGTTTAATTTCAAGAGAAAATGCCTATTAAATGGTTCTGGAGGCAGAAAACCTCTCCATAACCATCTTTCAAAGAAAACATCTTTTGTTCTATCTTCCTGCGACCTTTGCAGATCTCCAGCTTTTACAAGAGGGGTTCCTCAGAAACTTCTTTTGAAAGAAAATGCATTTGGAAGGGTAAGCTTTGGGATAAGGATGTAGCAACAATAGGATTTCAAGGAGAAGTATATGCTAATGGGAGAAAATAGCTCTAGACTTGATGGGTGGATAATCTCAGGTTTCATGTAGCAAAGGTTACATAACAACAGACCTTGCCTATGTACAGCCTTAATACTAATACTAATTCAGTCAATGACACTTTTTCAGAATATTTGTGTTCCTATTAGAGCTGAAAGCCTCCTTGAATATCATTTCATTGAAGAGCTACTGTAATAGAGGATTTGGTGAAAAATGTGGCATCTATACCATTAGTGCATAACAAATTGTTATCATACAGAAATAATGATAATGATAATGGTGATAGCTATGCTGATTAATGGAAATGATTACAGTGATGGTGATCAATTTAAGGATGAAAAGAAGGACGGAGATGGGTTGATGATCATAGAAAGATTGGTAATGATAAATGATAAAGAAGATAATGATAACAGTGGTAATGATATGAAACATAATTAATCACTTAACATGAAGGATAATATGACAGGGATAAAAGATAAGGAAGAGGGGAGGAGAAGAAGAAGGAAGATGGAGTAGAATGAGGAAAAAGAGTATTGGGAGGAGAGGTAGGATAAAGATTATAATGATTATGAGAAAGAGGAGATGGAGGGAAGAAGGGGATAAAATATAATGAGGAGGGAAGGAGGAGGAGGAGGATGGAGTAAAATGAGGAGAAAGAGGATTGGGAAGAGGAGAGGGAGGATGAAGATCATAATGATTATGAGAAAGAGGAGATGGAGGGGAGAAGGGGATAAGAGAGGGAGAAGGAGAGAAAGTGGAGGAGGTAGGGTAGGAGGGGAGAAGGAGGACAGGGAGAATGAGGAGAAATAATAGAGGAGGATCGAGGAAGGGGAGTCGAGGAAGAGGAGAAGGAGGGAAAGATTAGGAGGAGCAGTAGTAGGAGGAAGATGGATCTCCAGACAGAGGAAACTTATAGACTAACAGAGTCAGTACAGACCATGTTGCCATCACAACATAAGCTACATCATAAAGATGCTGCTTAACTCCGCCATTCACTTTCCAATACCACAACGAAAAAAACTCTTTAGGCATTTCTTTTCTCTCCTAAAAATCAACAATAGCCTACAATCCACATTCCACAGCATCTTTTCTTCATTGTAAAAAAAAAAAATGCAGCCAAGTTCCCACTCTTTACAAACCTCCATCTTCTATTTCTCCAGCCTAGAACTATTTTCATCTCTCTTTCTCTTCATCTGCCCCTGCCTAGAAATCTATTTTCTCTGCTGCGATGTTGGCATGTAACTTCTCGGAGGGATGGAGTCTAGAGGGTGATGGACGTATCAGGCTACATCATATGTAAACAGCCACGCATAATGCCATGGGTAATGTGACAGTTCTCTACAGGTATTTCTTTACCGTACGCCTAGCTTGCCAGGTTCGGGCAGACAGAAGGTTTTACCAGCAAGTATGCAGTCAGACCGCAGGTCGTATGCTAATGAGCAAAACCGGCCTGTTTTATTTCCAATCCCGCGAGCGCTCGCTCCTGTCATCTAACGTCTCGCGAGTCACGAGATTTTTGTACCGTGAACTGCGAGTGCAGTTTAAGAGAAAACCAAGCTTTCTGCGGTCGCAATGTTTAGGTGAGTACATAGTCCGTTTTCTTGTGTCTATTATCGTTCTTTTTCTGTAAAATTTGAGTAAAATTTCGTATAGAAAACACGTCATAACCACACGCCTCTCTTTAGGAACTGTTTTTGCAAGCCTCTAGATGTTGCTGGATCCTGACCCTGTCATAAAATGTACGATTTTAATTTGTTTTTAATTGCCATCTGCAGATGTTGACGATTCCATCGATGTATAATTTGTCCCGGCTCACAAATTAACAATATGAGTATTTGCCCCCCTAAAGTTATGAATATTTAATTAGTTGATCGTCTTGAAACCGTGAACGATGTGCACAAAGTCACGTGTTACCGGAATCCGAACTTAAGAGGCCATTTTCGATGAACGGTCAAGTTTTTATAGTGTAGTCCCGCGTACTTACATTTTTGTGTTTAAACCACTCGTTAGGTAACCAGTCGCAAACGTTGAAAGAAAAGATCATAGAGTCGAATTCATGAAGCAAATATGTTATGAATTTATCAAATTTACATATATAACCGTAAAAAAATATATGGTTGATAAAAAGGTCTTCCAAATTCTATATATTTTTGCTAGATCAAGGTAAGGAGATTGATGTAGATTGTGTCTTGACTTGACTTGAGATTGAGAGTTGAGTGATCAGTGATGATGTGATGTCTGATGGTGATGGAGCCAAATTTGCACTTGGCTACTTGCAGTTCTAAATGTCTAGTAACAGTAACTTAGATCATGACATGGGTGAGAATCTATGATGAAAATCAAGCAAGACCCAGTTTTTTATTATGAAAATCAGTTTGTAATTAACTTGGGTCACAGCATGCAGCAGCCTGTGCATCTGCCATGTCTGGGCGCTGCGCCTGCGGTGACTATTCAGACTAGTTTATCCTATTCTCAAATTCTTTCAAGTTTCATATCTCACTCTCAGATTCAAAAGTTTGTCAGAGCAAGGTCATTAGCTACCAATCTTGAAAGTTGAAACAGCCCTAGAATTCCATTTATCATGGTGATATTGCAGTGATCCATTAAATTGAGCTGTGTTGAACCGAGATTGAAGGCACTTTCCCCCCCCCCCCCCTGAATTTTACCAGTCTTTCTGGTGTAGTTTTAAACGTAGTTAAATTTCTGCTTTTTTTTTTTTTTTATCAACAGTCACTCATTCTTAGTTTCTTTTGTTTCCCTTTTTTTCGTTCCATGTAGGAGATGGCAGATTCATGTATATGGTGACTCAATTGTTCGTGGTGTAAGTTTTGATCAGGATCAGTTTGGTGGCAAAATATTCTGCTATCCGGGTGCCACTGTTAGGAATCTTCGACAGATAATTAGAGCACAAACAGACTTTGACTCCACAGTGGATGCAGTTGTAATCCATATTGGAACTAACAATCTTGGCAATAGTGTCTGGGAAAGAACTGGAGGACAATATAGAGATTTGATTTTTAGTGTACGTGAGAAGTACAGAGAATCAAGAAGCTGTGAGAATGTAAAAACAACACATTTACAGAATCCTACCTCTGTGTCTTTAATAGAATCCGATAACAGTGATGATTCTGATTATACATCTAGTGATGAAAGTGATTTGGAAATTAATGACAGAGAAATGCAGGTTGATGATGATGTACACTGTCTTTGAGACCTCTGAAGGTAATGTAAGGAAAGCTGAGATAACAGATTTTTCTGAAGATGAAACAGAATTGGCTTAAATACTGACTGATATTACTTGTCGGAATGTTTAAGAGTTATTGCTCGGCATTTGTATTCTATTTTATATATGTTTGTATTCAGAGTTTTATTTAGTTATGTACATGTACATGCTGCCTCATTGACGTATTTACTGGTAATTTAATATGTATTAGAACTTTTGTTACATTACTGTCAGCTTTTTATCAAAGAGATTTACTAGTAGATACATGTATGTTGTCTTCATATACATGCCAGGTGTTTTCAGTTACATCCATATTTATAGTGGTTATTAATTCTAGATTGTTTTCTTGAGCACATGCATGTTCATTATTATATTATATTCTAGAGTTGAAGGAAGTGTAAACAAAATGTTAAACTGCTATCTAGTATCTACATGTATCTTGTATTCTGCTTTTTAAAATAAGATGAAACTTGCCAGCTGACGTTTTGAATGCTATGGAGACACTTTTTTTTCTACTAGCGTTTGTACAATCTTTCTTTTCTTGCCAAAGAAGGTTCTATCTTTTTGTTTGAATAGACTCTCTGAGATATTTAAATACCGGTGATCTGTATGCAATTATGTTTATGTTTGGATCATGGTATGCTTTACTTTTAACAAATGTTTTGTTTGCATTTGCTGTCATGGTGATAAGTATTGGTCACAGGGAGTCTTTCTTTATTTTGTCATATTGTACAACTCTGCATATATGTATGTATTTCCTAGATATGTTGTCTTCATATACATGCACGGTGTTTTCAGTTACACCCATATTTATAGTGGTTATTAATTCTAGATTTTTTTTCAACACATGCATGGTCATTATTATATTTGTTTCTAGAGTTGAAGGAAGTGTACCGGTAAACAAAATGTTACATCTACATGTACATGTATCTTGTATTCTGCTTTTAAAATAAGATGAAACTTGCCAGCTGACGTTTTGAATGCTACATGTATGGAGACACACTTACATGTACTTTTTTAAATTTTTATTCTACTAGCATTTGTACAATCTTTTCTTCTCTTGCCAAAGAAGGATTCTATATTTTTGTTTAAATGAACTCTTCAAGATATTTGAATACGGGTAGTCTGTATGCAATCATGTTTATGTTTGGATCATGGTATGCTTTACTTTTAACAAATGTTTTGTTTGCATTTGCTGTCATGGTGATAAGTATTGGTCACGGGGAGTTTTTCTTTATTTTGTCATATTGTACAACTCTGCATATATATATGTATTTCAAGGAAGTAAATTATTTTCAACATTGTTATAAAAAAAGGTCATGTCACTACTACGTTACTCAAATTGCCATTTAGCATAGATGGATCAGGAAATGCAATTTGTATTAGTTCATTAGTTATTCATAGTACCATTCCATCACACTTCACTTTTAATTACTTTGTTTATACTCTTGCCAAAGAAAGTTATCCGGATAATAAACCATTATTATCATCATGAACACATATCACTTGATTATGGTTTATGAATATGGAAATCAAAAGGAATTGTGAAATATTATTTTGTTTTGGGAACAAGGCAGTTGCTTCATCTCCTTGACACATTTGTATTGTATTTTCACATTTTTTCTTTATGGTGGTAGATGTCTATTTCAACATTATTGTTGTCAGTTTTTTTTTGGTACTAGACTTTCAATTTTGTAGATAAAAAAGACCTTGCCAAATATTTGTGTGTGACTTAAGAACAAGCCTATTTTATGTGTGTGATATTTTTTTCACATGATATTGTATTTTTAAAGATGAAACCTGTACATATGTTTTTATATTAAAAAGCCTTTCATAAGTTAAATTTTTTTCTCATGCTCCTTATAATTCTGTAAATATTTTTTCAAGAATGAGCGGTACAGAGGCCTACGAGTAAAAATGAGTGGTAGGTGTTATAGTTGGAAGAATAAGAGCGAGATGGATGCGAAAGCATGGAATATCAAAGGGAGAAGTAATGAAGTGATCAAGGTTAATGACCATACCTTTAAATTCCAACAATAACTCCAGCAGTGCAGTCATTAAAAATATATATATTATTTTGTGATTTTGGAGGATGAGTGCTGTAAGTCTAGGTTACTGTTAATATAATTAGACTCCAAAAAAAGTCCAAATAAATTAGAGTCTAACCCACTCGATCTAGTAATTGCTGAGCAGCAACTTGATTTCACTAAGGGCAAATAAATTCATAATAATGACAATATCTTTGACGGAATAATTCACGTAACTGCTGCCTGTGAGCTGTGGTCCCATGGTCCTTACTGAGTGACTGCGACTGAGCTGAGATTGATGTGTTCACGCCATTCACGCAGTTCTGAACAGTACACACATTTAGTAGAGTGGGACTGATTCGGTCACATTGGTGTCGGTAAATTCAAGAGATATATTTAGCCTACGGTATCAAAATGTATTTCTTTTCGAAGCACTTCACTTTTTCAATGTATTATCCTGATTTAAATGAGAATAGTATGTAGGTGAAATGCACAATTACATGGAATAAATAGCGGACTGTAGCAGACAGACTCGTTCCGGACCGTTCTGAGTGAATTACGTCATTGTAGGCTGCTCGCTCAACCAATCAGGGTGCAGGAATCGTTCGCGAGGGCTCGTTTTGTTCGAGAACGTCTTTTGGTGAATTTTTCGGGGACAATGTTTAACATTTTGCTGGATCCTGACCCTGTCATGAGATGAATCATCAAATATTTAGGTTCATTAGAAAGGTGAATATATGTGGATTCGGAATATTTATATGGCAATTACGTCTCAGGGGTTTAAACAAAAATTATAACGGTAAATATAAAACCTTGTGATTTGTGAATGTTTGGCAATATCTTATTACAAATATGAATCCTTTCCGATAACCAATTTCATTAAAAATATATATGTACAGAAATGTTGGGGTTTCATCTTGTGAAATCTAAAGACAGAAATAGAAAAAAATAACTAAGAGCGAAACTATGAGCGTTTGCAAAAGTGTGTTTCACAGCGGCTTCAGAGGTCAGACGAAGGTCACGAGATCGTCGCTGGAAATAAAAGAAGCACATTTTTTCGGACGTGCGGACTGACTGTATGCTGGTACCACATATTCCAGACTCTCATGGTGGAAGGGGTTTACCCTAACATTTAAAACAATAATACAACAAATTATCAGTAGCAAAGCGATGTGTTACCAAAAGAAATTTTATTTTCTTCATCTGAACTGGATAAATTGTCTGTGGGAGTGTTTACATGGGATTTTCCACTTCTTTAAGAAGAAAAAGAGAAAGAAATAATACACACTTAATCCAAACAAGGTAAAATCTAGTCAAAATATGCTGTGTGACACTATATGTAGTTTGTAGCAGGGAGGAAGAGCCTAGACCAGGCCTTCTCAACTTGCGGCGCGCGCGCCACTTGTGGCGCTTGCGGTCAGTCGGAGTGGCGCGCGACTGTTGCAACAACAAAACAAAAAACAGAAAGAAAGAAAATATATATTTTAGAATCAAATACTCAGCTAAATCAAGAAGTTGCAGTCGAATTTGGTCCCAAAATGCCTGCTTAACAAACAAGAAGAACGGAGAATTTATTGTTTTTCACCATTTTATACGAATCTAAACCTAAGGTCTGAACAACAATTAGCTTACAATGGGATACCAATTTTAACATTGCCAATCTCTGGAAACATCTTGTGTTTTTTTGTTTGATTTTCACTTTATTTTGACATTTCCTATGTTTATTGCACACAAAACACTACATATAAATATACCTCCAGTGTAATTGTACCCAGGAATTGTACTAATTTTGTCACATCAATATGAAATTATGATTGATTATATTGTGTAATGAACTGGTGCTAAAAATGCCCCATTAGGGCCTTTAGAAAGCCCTAAATTCACCAGCTTCAGGGGGCTCTGCCCCCTGCTACCCCCGTTAGGGCTTCGCCCCTGGACCCAAACCATTTTCGGCTCCGTCGCCACGCTCCCTCGCAGCACGGTCAACCATACAGGGTGGCACTTCAACTACAAATTCTTTTCGTTTTGGCACTTCTAATAAACTAGTTGAGAAGGCCTGGCCTAGACCTACACATTTAAGGTTGTTTAACCCCTAGTATACTGTTGAACAGACCTGTGTGGTAGTTGAAAAGACGTATGGTTAAACATACTTTAAACTTGACTCTGGCATAAATCTTTTTGTCAAATATTTTTGTCAAAGCTTCAGTTTAGGGTCTATATTTTCAGACTACTGCGATGACAGAAAACTAAGAGCAAATGCAGGAACACGAAATGTTTCTCAGAGCATTGGATTCATGTCATCCTACTTCACTCATGAGACAGCAACGTGAGAGTCTCTGACTTACAGACTGACACAGGTAATGTTTTGTTTAAGGGCATTGTTTAACAACGTTTCCAGTTTTACAAATCCAAGATGCATGGCCCTACGTGTTATCAGTGCCGGTAATATGGTGTAATATTGAAGTCCTAAAAAAATTGCACTACAAAATGATGATGAAGTGCTCAAAAAAGTAAAATCATTGAGTGACCGGTTTTACCAGGCTCATGTTCCCTAATAGACTGTAGTGTTGTTCAAAACTGTTTCGGAAACGGTTTTTGACATTTCTAATTCCAATCATAAATATCTTGGTAATCAGACAGGCGATCGGCTTGTAAAGTCATGGGATTCCTGACAAACCAAAAGGTTTGTAATCATGATTGCAGTATGAGCTAAATCCAGGATTTTTTTAAGAATCTGAAGCAAAGATACCC